GGCTGTGGAGCCTTTGTATCTGCAGGGACAGAATCTCAGAGAAAGATTCTGAATCTCAGAAAGACAGAATCTCAGAGAACGTCGTAGGGGCACTGTAGGACCCCCCAGTTCAAAACCAACAGACAGTTGGCAGGCATACTTTAAAGAGCAGCAGTTCCAAACTGATCACTGACGTTGTTGTAAGACTTATTATGTTGGGGGGAAAATTCTCACAATTTCCTTTAAATAGGCAGCTGTTATAGGGTAGTTTTTTTTTTTTTAATTTTTAATACGTCTTTAATACTTGGCTGAAAGGCTGGAGTTCAGGCAGAGAGAAACTTAATATGTTAAGAGCTTTGCCCTTTGAGAATCTGTCAGAAATGGAGAGAAAATATCGCAGAAGTTATAATCAGTGGGGAAAACAGGATTCCAACCATCCACCGTTCTCGGGCAGGACACCAGCGTCTCGGAATGAGGCTGCCTCTGCACACAGCCCTCGCTTTCGGAGATGAGAGGAGATGCCAGCAGCTCAGCCCGGCTGCTCCCGTGGTGGATGATCCTGGCCTTGGCCTTGGCCCCGGAAGCTCTTCTGAGGAGGGCACTGCCCTCTGTGGCCCCCGTTGTGTAGCGGCCTTACGGAAAGGGGAGAGGGGCACCACTTACAGAGTCTACACCTGGGCTGCTGCAGCCTGACGACTCAGGTCGGGGCTGGCTGAGGCCCAGCGAGTGCCGGGGCCAGGTCGGGGCTGGAACCCGTGCCGTGCAGGTGCAGAGCAAGGTTTTCCCCTGGACCCCTCCTATCCTGATGTTAGTCACCATCATCACTCAGGAAGATAGAAGCGCACTTTCTGTGTTCAGGTCCTTGCCAGACAAAATATTTTCTCAGTAAAATTTCTGGTTCTTTCAGCCTTGTTGGAAGTGCCAGGTTCTGAGCCTGTTGTCAGCTGTCCGACCTCCCATGACCTGAGATCTGGAGCAGCCCTTGGGTGTTTCCAGCAGGAGAGAACTTCTAGACCAGGTGTCCTCAAACTACGGCCCAAGGGCCACATGCCGGTGTTTTTGCCCCTTTGTTTTTTTACTTCAAAATAAGATATGTGCAGTGTGCTTAGGAATTTGTTCAGCGTGCGTTGGTTTTTTTTAACTATAGTCCGGCCCTCCAACAGTCTGAGGGACAGTGAACTGGCCCCCTGTTTAAAAAGTTTGAGGACCCCTGTTCTAGATGGTTCTGAGGGGTCACCCTCCTTTGCCTTTCCCTGGGGGAGTTCTGGCTGGGCTGGGGGTGTTTTCGGTGGCGGCCGCCGCCTCGTTAGCACGCCTGAGACTGGCCAGTGGGCAGCACGTTGTGCAAGAAAGCAGCTGCTGCTTGACAGGGGACGTGCTCACCTCGCCCTCTGAACCCCCAGACAGAGAGGCCGTCGCTTCCAGGCCCTGGCCCCTGCAGGTGGACACACTGACCTCGAATGCAGAGGCTCCCGTGTCGCAAGGTTGTGTGATGGACACATTACATAACGTGTATTTCCATAACTGGGTGCATATGTGTTTTTTCCCATTAGAAGGATTTTAAAAGTTAATCTATATTGCAGTTTTTCCAATTAGATAATACATGCATATGGCAAAATAATCAAATCCCTCCTTGTGGGCCCCTCCTGAGAACCAAGCACGGGTACAGATTTTTTTCTGTGTCCTTTTAGAGATAATCTCAGCCTATGCAAGCATATGTGTAGATAAACATTGTTTGCACTTTGCTTTTTGGGTTGACTATATCTTGACGATCATACAATACACGTAAGACTGTAGATTTTTTAAGCATTGCAGAATAATCCGGGGGCGGCTATGCCAACAGGGAGTTGCTGGACATGTAGGTTGTTGGTTCCAGGGTGTTTGCTCTTTATGGCTTTTTAATGCCTTTCAAATGTGGGCACCCTGTTTTTCCCTTCTTAAATGTGTCTTGTGACTCATGGGCCAAAGGGTCTGTATTTGAGTCCCCACCCCCACCTCCCTGAATGCATTACATTCCCCTGTTAATGTGTCATTATATTTGACACTTTGAGTATAGACAGGCTTGGTAGATAATAAAACAGTATTTGGCTTATGTTTAATAGCTGTCTCCTCCCTGTGCCTGAGAACGCCTTAGCGTCCTTCAGAGGTATTTGGTGATGCCACCCCCCCCTCCAAGGGACTCAGTCAAAATTGTGAGCCTTAAATCTGACCAGCCCGGTCTGGGGCGGTGGCAGCTCCACGAATCGGTGGCAGCTCAGCCTCTCCTCCTCGCTGTGCCAATCTGTTTCCGTGGTGGCGGGTGGCAGCACAGTGTTAAATTTGGAGACCCCCATTGGTTTCCCATGCCGACCTGCATATGTCTTCGAGCGTGGGGCAGGGAGTGCGGTGGACCCCTGCCGAGTCCCCGACTGCCGGCAGCAAGTTGCCTCCGGTGAGCTGGTTCTGCAGCCCCGTGATCAAGGTGGGTCTGCCTCAGTTGGGCCACCTGTTTCAGCTTAGCCCGCCTCGCTCTGGCTTCCTGACCGGTCTGCCTAGGGAGGGGCGGATGGGCAGCCAAGGGGGACAGAGGGGCCTACAGACCCCATGCCCTTCTGGCATCCTCCACAAAGTGTCCTCCACTCTCCCCACCTGATGGGGGAAGGCTGGGGCCGGGGCTGGGACCCCGCAGTCACCTTGGTGCATGCAGCATCCTGCACCTGGCCGGCTGGAAGAAATCAGCAGATGCCCACTGACTGGGTGACCCCCGCCCAAGGCTTCCATTCAGTGGAGGAAGCAGGGACCCTGTGGAAAGCAGTCCGTGTTCTTTTGTTTTTCTCTAAGTTTTCTGTGTCTGTGTGCGATTGGAATGAAACATCGACTTTTTTTCTTTTTTGTCATATTTCAATATTGGCTTTTTCTCCCCCTTCTCGAAGTCTCCTTTTATAACTTCTTCTGCTGCTGCTTAAATATAGATGTCGAAGTCCTCCTCCTTCCCAGATTGTTTATATTTCTGTGGAGCCTTCTGCTCGTCTGGGACTGCTCTTCTCTCCTCCCCACTCTACCACATTGGTCTCCGTTGCTCTTTTTTCCCTGCCTTCCCTTAACTGGGATGCGTTTCAAATGTGGTCTATCAAAATGTTCAGTGTTTCCCTCTTTTCTGCAATAGCTTTGACATCTGTTCTTGAATCCTAGCCCACGTTATTCTTTAGGACTTGTTTGCCCAAGGTTTACTTTAATGCCAGAAATACTAAGGGGAGAGTGTGGTGTGGTGGTTTCTCCCCCCATCGCTGGATTGTTAGGGTTTTCTCCCCCCTCCCCTGCTTTCTAAACTCTCTCCGATTTCTGAGCTGACAGCACGCTGGATGTGTGTTCCAGCACTCTGTCATCCTGTCTGGCAGTGGCCCACCCCGTAGTGGCACTGACGAAGCGTTTACAGCAGGGCTTACAGACTTGCTGGGTTGTTTCCACCGAGAAGGCAGGCAGGTGGGACTCGGTGAGGTGGGCGGAGAGGGGTGGAGAGAGACTCTGCTCGCTTCCTGGAGGTCTGGTCTGGTGATGATCCTCGGCTTTGACCGTCCGCGCCTTTCTGCCGGTGCCTCATTGGGTTTCTGCTCTGCTCGGTCGTAGGGTGGTGTTCCCTGCCATTGAGAAACCACTCGGAGCAGCCACCTTGAATCTAAGCAGAATGTGCTGCCGTGTGTCTTTAGTCACTGAAGCGACTCAGCAAGAAAACAGGCCTTTTGGTGGCTACGGCAACGTGTCCCTGTCCTCCTGCTGTCAGCCTGGAGCACCATTCTGGGCCCATCTGCTGCAGGCTTGTTTGAAACAGATTCTCTTGGCAGCTCCTCCCAGAATTTCAGAGGCCAGGGCACGGGTTCTTGGACGTGCCGAGTGTCAGTTGGTTGTGCGTGGCAGAGGCCAAAGCCCTCGGGCCCTGGCAGGTCCTCTAGTACGGCACCCGCTCCTAGTGGTCCTTGGAGTTCCTGGGCGAGTAACACGATTTGAAAAAAACTGCTGCTTCCAGGTGCCTAATTTCCGAAAAGTTTACAAGATACTGGAAATAATTATTCTTGGAATTAACCTCTTAAAGGTCCCTCTTGAAAACTAGTAATAGGTTAATGGTCCCAAACATGCTTGGCTTAGAGGAAGCTCACAATAAGTATTTGTTGAATGAGAACAAATCAAGGCTGGGTGTGGTGGCTCATACCTGTAAACCTAGCACTCTGGGAGACTGAAGTGGGAGGATCACTGGAGGTCCTGAGTTTGAGACCAGCCTGGGCACAAGCAAGACCCTGTCTCTACAAAAAAAAGAAAGAAAGAAAAGTTAGCCAGGCATGGTGGTGCATGCCTGTTGTCCCAGCTACTCAGGAGGCTGAGGCAGGAGGACCACTTGAGCCCAAGATTTTAAGGTTGCAGTGAGCTAGGATAACCTCACTGCACACTAGCTGAGGTGACAGAGTGAGACTGTCTCAATAAAAAAAAAAAAAGAAAGAAAGAAAACAAACCAACTCAGTCATAGGGTGGTTTTCCCTGCCATTGAGAAACCACTTGGAGCAGCCACCTTAGATCAGCACACACGGTCCCAGGCTCACACGTTGAAGGACAGCCAGGCAGAGTGCCCCGATAAGCGGGCAGAACTTAGCATAGGGACCAGCGCCCTCCCGGATAGCTGGAAGAGGTGCTTGTGAAGAACACATAGGAGCGGCTCCAGGGAGGGGTGTGCATTGGCCTGACTGGGTTTAGCAGGAAGATGTTTCTGCGTGTTCTGTTATAGGAGTAGAGTCATGCAGGGGGTGGGGGGTGCATGCAGGTGCGTGACGCACCAAGCGGGGCAAGTCTGGCTGTCTCAGACCAGTGCGCGTGGGCTGGATGGACTGTGTCCACCCCCTTCCTGCTGCCCCCAGCCCCTCCTCTGCCAGTGAGTTAGAAATCCCTGGAGCCACCGGGGTCTCTCCCCAGCGTTCTGGTCAAATGCAAATATGATCTCCTCTGGTACGAGGCGCAATTACAATCTTGCTTTTCCTTTTTTGTTTTTCTCACAGAGAGAACTCGATGCCACCGCAACGGTATTGGCGAACCGGCAAGATGAAAGCGAGCAGTCCAGAAAGCGGCTTATCGAGCAGAGCCGAGAGTTCAAGAAGAACACTCCAGAGGTGAGGTGGGGTTGCCCTCGAGCTCTCTTTGAAGGGGTCTTATTATTCTGGTGCACACTCAGACAACGTGTCCTAGGCATTTCATTTCATCAAACATGTGGCAAACAGCCTGCTCTTTTCTCCGATGTCCTCAGCCGCATCCCAGCAGGCTCATGCCACCACGCAGGCTGTGGGGACGTGGCACTTGATAGGTTGTCTGGAAATAAGAAAGCCGAGCTAATTCCAAATGCAGATACTGGACAAGCTGGGTACGTGAGAGTTTGTGGGTAGGTGTGTGGATGTCTCAGACCCTCGAGCCCAGCCCAGCCTCTGCCCCCATGTTGGGTAGCATGCCACCAAAGACTCTGCGGGGCAGAGGGGCCTCGGGGCCTGCCTCCCCGCCTCCCTGGTGCTGGGGCAGGCAGAGTGTGTCTGGAGGCCGCACATATCTGAGAGTAGACACTTGCTAATACTTCTTAAAGACAGATAGTGAGTCTACAAGGGCCTTTTAAATGCCTCTGTGTTTCTTCAGATAATCTGTAAAGGGCACTGGGAATGTCCTTGTCATCTGCTCCTTTTTTTTTCTTGCATGTATGCATTAGGAGGGCCCATGTTGAGAGTCACTGGGACCACATTTTCCTAATCTGTTTCTAGGTCCCTTTTCCCCTTCTGTCTCTATCAAGGTGTATAGTAAGAAATAAAAAAGAAGTAAGAGTGTCACAGAGGGATGAGCAGACCTGGGCATTGCTTTGGTGGGGGTAGGCTGGGGGGTATCTTCTGCCGGTTGGGCCATGATGGTTCCCTTGCCGTTGGCTCGGACCCCAGCCTCTGCACTTCCCCTCCGATGGGAGGGCTCCCAGGCCTTGGTTATCCTCCCACAGCTCTCAGTTCTTCCATGTAGGACAAAGGAACAGGCCTGGAAGCAAAGCCGCTTTCTAGGAGAGATGCCCCTAACTTGTATAATATGATATTTTTAAAAAAATTAGGTGTGAATTAAAATTTTAAAAGTAGACCCATTTAAAATGTTTTGAAGGAACTTTGTTGTTGAAGGAAGTACTATCTTAAATCATTTTGGAAAACAAGTTATGAACCCTTATTTTTAGAATAAGTGTTTTGGAAGAGAGCAGGGTAGGAAGAAAGAAGGTTCCAGTAGTAGACACACCCAAGAGGTTCAGGTCTTAGACCACTGCTTACCCTCCGTCTCCGCCCGCCCCCGGGTGTGGGTCTTCACGTCTGCTCAGAGCAGAAACTCGGCTCGGAGTCACAGCCACTCGGGCATTGCCGCTCCCTGTGCCACTGTCGGGGTTGGGGGGTGAGTCCCTGTTCTCTCTGTTCAGACTGGTGGGTAGAGGCAGCAGCCAGCGGCAGCCCCTGCTCCTGTCTCTCAGCTGCTGCAGAGCAGACCTTCCCAGAGGGCCCAGTTGTAGGGTTTCCTGAGCTCTCGGCCTTGCCTCTGTTTCTCTAGGCTGACCCGCTTCCTGCCCATCTCTCGATCCGCTCTTGGCGCTATTCCTATATCTAGCTGTGGCCGCTGTCCTGTGTTCTCACTGCCCTTTCCTTGGTGACCAGATGTCCTGGGGTTTCCCTAGAAAATCCTAAAGAACAAGGCCATCCTTTTGAGGCGACAGGCAGCAAATAAATACAATCTGTCATAAGTCGGCGGGGATGGAGCAGAGAACGGCGTCCCGAGTAGGCCTCAGAAATCCCAGACTCCTCAGCGGCGAATGGTGGTGCCTGTGGAGGAGGATCGTCCTCCCCTCCGGCTGCCTGGACCCTAGCGGGGCTGGTGGGTGTTGATCCAGCTGCATTGAGCCTGTCCCTCTGTCGGCACCCAACAGGCCTGTCCTGCAGGAGCTAGCAGGCAGCTCATGTAGCTCGTGTTGAATCCCACATCAGTTACTCAAAAAAACCTTGCCTCAAACTTTGCCTTTTTATCTTCTTCTAACCCCAGTAAGCGGAAGAGGCTCATGGAAGGTTAGCCTAGTTGGTAAATGGCATTTGGGGCATTTCTTTTCAGGGTACCTGAATAGACATTGTCTTCCGTGGGGGCCAGAACCCCACCTTGAAGGGATGGAGGGGGTGGGAGGGGGCCGTCGTAGTTGTTCCCGGCCTGACTTCTGCCAGGTGGTCACAGCTGGTGCCTGCTTCCTCTTCTTTTGCGGCAGTAAGGAGGGTCTTCCTGTGGCACTAGTGTCTGGGGAGGCCGGGGGTGGGGCTTCCCTTGCACTCGCCTGTCTGAGGATCATCCTGGAAATCTCTGTGGGGCCCCATGGGAAGCCTGACCCCAAAGTGACCCAGTTCACTTGTTCTACGGGCCAGAATCTTCTGCCAGATATTTTTAAGCCACTTAAAGTCAGAGTGGTGGTGAGAGCTGGTAGCTGTAGGCAGAGTCCTCTGGGATGCACAGGGGTGCGTGTGGGGCTCTGACAGCACGTACGTGCGTGTGCATGTGTGTGTGTGTCTCCTGACAGCACATTGGGGGCAGGGCTCTGACAGTACGTGTGTGTGTGTGTGTTTGTGTATGTGTGTGTGTCTCCTGACAGCACATTGGGGGCGGGGCTCTGACAGTACGTGTGTGTGTGTGTGTTTGTGTATGTGTGTGTGTCTCCTGACAGCACGTTGGGGGCAGGGCTCTGACAGTATGTGTGTGTGTGCACGTATATAGCTGCCAGTACATGAATGTGTGGGGCAGGTCTCTGACAGTACATGCGTGCAGGTGGGGGGCTCTGACAGCACATGTGGAGCCTCAAAGTGAGTGCCTGGCCTGGGCCAAGAGGGGGTATTGAATCATCATTTGTTTGGGGTGTCAGTCTCGAGGAGCCTTGGTCACTTCCTCTGGCTGTGCCACTGCACAGGTTATTACATAACCAAGAAGCAGATTAACACTCACTGTGGAGGTAACACTTCTAGAAATTGCACATGTGAAAATGAAAGTCGCCCAGAGCTTCGTTCTGCAGGGTAAAAAAACCTGGCTTGTCGGCAGGGAAGACCTCCTGTTCCTTAGGGACAAGGCCCAGGATCCTCGAGGCCTCACGTGTGGTGGAGCCAGGGCCGGCGGTGTTCTTGCTGGCATCACACCAAGTGTGTCGGTTCCCGATGAAAATACCCAAGTCCCTGTTTGTTCTGAGAAGGGAGAAAATTTCCTCCTAGTGTCTCTTGAGTGTCTGACATGTCTAACATGTAGGATTAGGCACCACCCGAGAGAATTCAGAGGTGAGTAAGGTTTAGTCTCCCATCAGGGAGTTCATATTCTGCTGGACTAGCCCTTCCCAGCAGCGACTGGGAAAGAAAGTTGGGCTGTGACAGGAGGTGTCTGGGACGGCCGGGCAGGGGTGCTGGTGGGCAGGTGGGCACCAAGGTGGCTAGAAGCCTTGAATGCTTTTTGTTTAGAATGAATTTTTTAAAGTTTCAGTGTCAGTGTCGTTAGATGAATGCAGGTGTAGTCCCTTGGTATTATTATTTTGAGAGACAGGGGCTTGCTCTGTTGCCCATGCTGGAGTGCAGTGGCCTGATCATAGCTTTCTGCAGCCTCGAACTCCTGGGCTCAAGCGATCATCCCACCTCAGTCTTCTAAAATGCTGGGATTACAGGTGTGAGCCCCTGTGCCCAGCTGCTTATGTCTTTTTGATCCAAAGTTGTAGTTAATTTGAAGGAGATTGCAGTTATCCTATGAATAAAATTCTATACATTTTGTTTGAGTCAATCAAGAGTCCTTTTAGAAAGAAAAGTGTTTTTAAATATTCTAACTGAACATCCACTCCCTATTGAACTAAGAATCAGCGGTTGAACTTAGTAGGCAGTGGATATTTCTAGGGCGTCTTCTTTCCATGGTTATTACTGCAGGTGACTTTCCGGCCATGTGTATTTGGGCAAATTACTTACCTCCCAAAGTCTTAGTTTCATCATCTTTAAAAAAAGCAATGACAGGGCCCAGCTCACAGGGCTGCTGTGTGTGCATGCGTGTGTGCGTGTGTGCATGTGTGTGCACGCATGTGAAGGGCTCCACAGAGGCCTGGCACCTAGTGTCCAATCCAGTCTGTGTTGTAGTTAGTGTTAGCTTGGAGCACTCATTAGGTAACATATTAGATGCAGTTGATTCCTGCGCCTCAAAGCTAGCTTGGGGAACTTTTTAAAAAACAGGAACAGCTATAGGTAGTTTTTGGCTTAAAGTGTTTCAAAAGTTGGTTTGTAATAAGACTTAATCATTTTACAAATATTTATTGAACACCTTCTATGTTGTAGACGGTTTGATTCTGGGGGCAAAACTCTATCACTGTTCTTAAAAAGTTTCTTATCTTTCTTACCAAGCAAAAAGAATGCAATCATATAGCATGTCAAGTGCTGGGATAATATGCCTGGAATCTTCTTGCCATAGACTTTCCCCACAAAAGCCCTCTTATGGTGATGGTGATAAAAGTTGTCTGGATAAGCCAGATATGGCTCCGTGACCCTTATTGTAGATAAACAGTCCTGTTTTCTGAGCTTTGGTTATTAACCTTTAAAATATCGGTGAATGTTAAAAACCCACTCCCCTGAGAAATGCACATGTTTGCACACACTTACTGGCAGACCTTTCAGCATGCATCATGTGCCCCTGGTTTGGGACACATTTCCCTGGGCCCACAGTGTGATTTCAGTTTGCCACTCCAGGAGCACCACGTGGGTCCCCTCCCTTCTCCTCCTCCTCCTCCTTGTGCCCCAGGACAGGAGGGGATCAAAGAGAGAGGTGGCTGGTGCTGAGCAGGGACCAGCTGTGCCCTGGCCCTGGGCTGGGTGCCGGAGACTAGGAGATGCATGGAGGGTCACATGGGGCTCCACAGGCTGGTGGCAGCTTTCTGGAAGCCTGGTGGTGGTAGAGCTGTGTGTATGGTGGAGGCCAAAAGCCTGTCTCCCACAACCCCCAGAGATGTCTCTTAGCCTTCTCATTCACCCTTTCCTTTTCTGTTGCTTTGATCAGAGGTTGAACTCTTGATCTCCTATGTGCGATCCCAGAGGTCTTTTCTGGCCCCAGGTGCCTGGGG